TACATGCTGGTATTTTAAAAATATAAGTACAATGTAAAAACATGTATGTACACAATAAGTCCATTGTATCAAATTATTAGTTTCAATGAAAGTACATTGTACTTAAAGCCACTTAATATAAAGTGGGACCGATATTTTTTTTTTTTAACATTTAAAATGCTTTGGTGATCAAATATTAGTTTTTTTGTTTTTTTAAAAAAATATTGACTACAGGGGGAGTTTCATGATAATTGTCATGTATTTTAATAATCCACTTACAGTAATTTGAGTTGTGTTAATGTTTAGGGTTAATTATTCTTTATTTGTGTGTGTGTTTTAGTCATAATGAGAACACTGTGAAGTTGCAGAGGTTCTCAAACAGTGACAACTATTGTCTGATTCTGCCCCCGAATCTCAAATCTGCAATCGCCGCCATCAATTACATGTCCGAACAGTTGAAGAAACAGGATGTGGATGATACTGTAAGTCTATAAACACACACACACACACTCCTTCCATCTCTCGTTTCCACACATACTCACAGAAACACAAAGAAAGCTTTATCTGAGGCATCCTCAGTGTGTCAGTGTGATAAACGCGTCCGGTTGTGTGTGTAGATGACGGATGACTGGCAGTACATCGCTGTGGTTTTGGATCGGCTCTTCTTCTGGCTGTTTGTCATCATCACTTCACTGGGAACACTGGCCATGTTTCTGGATGCCAGCTTCAACTACACTCCTGACCAGCCTTTTCCATGAGCACATCCCTGATCCAACAGCCGACACACTGAACACACACCGCAGGACTCAAGGGGGCGCCAGAGAGTACTCTCTCTCTCTCTCTCTCTCTCTCTCTCTCTCTCTCTCTCTCTGTCTTCCTCACTTTCTTTCTTTCCCTCCTTCCTTCTGTCCAGCTTTTCCTTGCTTTCGTGTGCCGTCTGTCCATCCTTCCTTCTTTCCTCCCTTTCCTTTCTTTTCTTTCCTTCCGTTTATTTCCGTGCATCCCGCTTTTCTTTCCGTCTGTCCATCCTTCCTTCTTTACTCCTTTTCTTTCTTTCTTTCTTTCTTTCTTTCTTTCTTTCTTTCTTTCTTTCTTTCTTTCTTTCTTTGTGAAAGAAGTGCCATTAAATGCCATTTGAAATTTTCTTCTAGAATGATAATTTTTATCAAGCTTGTATATTTAAGTTCAGTGATTTCACTTAAATGGCAATGATAATTACCTATTAATTGTCATTTAAGTGAAATTACTGAACTTAAATATACAAGTTTGATAAAAATCATCATTAAAGAAGAAAATTTCAAATGGCATTTAGAGGCTTTTGCATCTGAACTCTTCATATATATATATATATATATATATATATATATATATATATATATATATATATATATATATATATATATATATATATATATATCCATGACAATATGTTTTGTCAAATTCTCTCAATTCATCCACTAGGCTTATATTCATTCATTCTGTGCTCTTTACTTATTACTTACTGCATTTAGGGAATTATATTTAATATACCTTTAAGAATAGTTTTTTAACCGTTTTTATTCATGGCGTAGTCTGAACAACCTATTTTCTTTTCTTTTCTTTTTTTTTCTTGATCCAGTGTTCATAAAACAGAGAGAGCATGTAAATTGTCTTTTTTTATTTAATTGTTTTTTGTCTTTTATTTGTGTGTACAAGAATACTAAAAAAACTGCATTACATTAAGCAGCACGGCGGTTTTCAGCTGAAAATGATCAGAAATGTTTCTTGAGCAACAGCATTTTAGAGTGATTTCTGAAGATCATGTGAAAATTCAGCTTTGATCACAGAATGACATTTTAAAATGTATCCACATATAGAAAACCGCTGTTTTAAATACAATAGTGTTAATATTTCACTGTCAAATAAATGCAGCCTTGGTGAGCATAACATACTTCTTTCAAAAACATTCAAATTATACTTGTTTTAAAACAAAAAATAAACTATTCATTCATTTATCAAGTGTTAATCAGCCTTTGTGTACGTAGTTTATTTTTAGTTGCATTCTAAATTGAATTCCTCGATGACCTACAGTACATTCGTGTAAAGGCACCGAGTTGCATGAGAAGTAAAAGAAAGAGGTAAAGAAATAATGAAATAAGGTAAGCTCATTAGTGGAGTCGCTGCTTCTGAGGAGAAACCAGAAGCCTGTGTGTTTTATTGCTAACGGTTCGGTGGGCGTCTAAGGCGGCTTACACCAGTTTAATCTCGGCTTTTTTCACTGTCTATAATCTTCACACACACAAAAAGGCCTGGAGCCAGTCAGAAGAGGAGCCATGAAGGGGTTTCTGTTCTTCTCCGGGCTGATTTAGCACTGTCTGCTCCCCCTTTACTGAGTGTTTTCTGTTTACTGGAACTAGGTGGGGACAGAAGCTTCAGAAAAACGTTAAAGTTTCTTTTGTGTGTCGAGGCTTTTTGGCCCAGTGCTCGAGAACCGGCCAATAGGGTGACAGATAAATCACGTATCCAGGGGTGACCGGGGCGGGGGAGTGTGTGTGCTGATTTCAAGATGTCACTAAAGCAAATCTGTTGCAATGTGTAGCAATTCTACACATCAGAATTATGATAACAAATATGGCTGTGCAATGATTAATCACATATATTAAGAATATACATATATTGTATATACATATAAAGAGTTCAGATGCAAAAGCCTCTAAATGCCATTTGAAATTTTCTTTTTTAATGATGATTTTTATCAAACTTGTATATTTAAGTTCAGTAATTTCACTTAAATAACAATTAATAGGTAATTATCATTGCCATTTAAGTGAAATCACTAAACTTAAATATACAAGCTTGATAAAAATTATCATTCTAGGAGAAAATTTCAAATGGCACTTAGAGGCTTTTGCATCTGAACTCTTCATATATTTAAGAAATATTTCCATTTATATCCTGTATATATATATATATATATATTTATAATGAAAACACAAAGTTTTATATGCATGATTAATCGTTGCACAGCCCTACTTTAAATCTTACCTTTAGAAATCTTAACATAACCATCAAACGCAGAGCTTCATATATGTCAGGGTGTGACACAGACATTTTCTGGAGTGAAAACCTCATTTCCTCTTCCAACAGCATTATTACTTCCGCTCTACTTTCTCTCTGATTAAAGGTATTTCCTCTTTACCTTGGTAAGAATATTGTAACATTGGTGCCAACTTTGTCCTGCACACAATAGTTGACAGTGTTCCAGGCCTTTCACTGGAAGTGCTGAGGTCACATGATGAAGTGTTCAGACGTGGCAAACGTGCCTTATGAAAGGGACTTGCAGATCTAAGTTGGGCGTTCAGATACTGATTAGGCAATAGCAACTGTATTAAAGCCCCCCTGTGGTGAAAATCCAGCATTTTTGTGTTATGTCTATGTGGTATTTTTAATATGCTTTAAGACAACTCATAAGTCGACAGCATTGCTGAGTAGCTATTTTCTCTTTAAAAGTGCAGTGAACCAAACAGTCTCAAAAACACAGTTTAAAATCGCTGGCGTTTCTGACGTCACACACTACCTAACCAATCAGATCAACGTGTGATCGTCAACCAGTGGATCTCTGAGTGAGTGAAGGCGGGGTTAATTTGCATATTCATAGAACTATAGTATACTAAATGAAGAAAGAGTGTAGAGTTACATTCAAAAACAGAAAAAAAATATATAAATATGTAATTTTGGTGATCAAAGATGAGTTTTAAGAGATAAAATTATTGATTACATGCAGGGGGGCTTGTAAAAAAAAGTTTCTGGAATCTATTAATGTAATTTAAAACATTAATAATATTAATACATGTAGTATATTTTAGCTAAAATATATTTTTCTATAGGCTAATAATAAAAATAATAATTATGTTGTTGTTGTTTTAAAGTGATAGTTCACACAAAAAATTTAATTCTGTCATTAATTACTCACCCTCATGTCGTTCAAACCCGTAAGATCGTTCATCACCGGGACACAAATTAAAGCAAACACCACAAAGTCCTGTTTTAAAGTGGATTTAGAACAGCTAAGGAGCGTTGTTAAACATGACGTGGAGCAGAGTTTGTATAAAATGGTTATTCCATAAAAATATTTATTTTATTTAAAAAATAAACACCAGCAACAAAACATATAACGTTATAACACATTTATTCCTCCGCCAAGTAGTTCCGACTGCTAACCCAGATAGCAAACTGACATTTAATCAACGTGGAAACGACGTCTCTCATGACATTGAAACAACGTTGATTTGCTCATCGAATTAACGTTGAACCAACGTCAGACGCGGCATTCTTCAAAGCTAAATGAAATCGAAAATTGGTTTGCTTTCATAACGTTGAAACAACGCGTTGATTTCAAGTTGATTTTCCGTTAGTTTTGAAAGAATGACGCATCTGACGTTGGTTCAACGTTAATTCGATGAGCAAAACAATGTCAGATCAACGTTGTTTCGATGTCATATTTCCACGTTGATTCAATGTCAGTTTGCTATCTGGGAAGCAACAAATGCGCGGCAACAAAGATTCGCGGCAGCGGTCACAACAGCTCAACCAATCAGAATCAAGGACTGGAACTATCCGTTTTACAATATTTTATGAAATGCGAGAGCTTTCACAGCCTTGCTTTCATTCCCGCACTTTCCGGTGGAAGTCAAAAATGGTGCTGCTCAGAAAGGTCCATTTCCGCCGTGTAAGAAGAAACTTGTTTCGGTAAATTATATATCCCAGACAGCATCGTGTCAGCCCAGATCCGGCCCACATCTCGACTTTTTATTTCACGATCTCGATATAGCCTATTTTCTCACAGCTTTTTGACTTTTTATGTCATGTTTAATGACTTTTATGTGACGCGTCCATATTAGAGACACTTCTGTTGATTGGAGAATATGTTATAAAGAAAACAAACTTAATCTAGGTGTGTAGAAGAGTAACAAAGGTTTAAACCGTCATTCAGTGATGCGAGTGATTCTGTGTGACGTGACGTCACGACAGGCACAGGCATCGCGCGGGCACGCGCCCGTAACCCCCTCATTCCCTCGAGATTACACTCAGTCATCATCAGTATTATACGCAACACTAAGCTGATACCTCTCCGTCGAGGTATAAACAAACCCCGCGAGTTAGTGACTGCTAGTTTTCGTCTAGGAGAGTAGAGTAGCCTAACGTACTTTCCCCTCATCAGTGTTTACTCGGTTCCTCAGAGAGCTACAGGTGCGGGACAGGAGACAGGAGTATCCGAGTCAGTCATTGCTAACTGTTGCTCAGCTTGCCATTTAAGTGACGACTATGGCAAACTCGGGCGTTCAGTTGCTGGGGTTTGGTCTGTCTCTGGTGGGCATCATCGGGCTGATCGTGGGCACCGTCCTGCCGCAGTGGAAGATGTCCGCGTATGTGGGGGACAGCATCATCACGGCGGTCGCCACTTACCAGGGGCTGTGGATGTCCTGCGCGTTTCAGAGCACCGGACAGCTTCAGTGCAAAATATACGACTCCATTCTACAACTAGACAGTGAGTTGAACCATCTTATTCGAGGTTTTTTTTTTCGGTACATCTATCTGTTTGTCCGTCCGTCCGCCCGTGTGTCGCATGTCGCACTGTAAAAAAAAAAAAAAAAAAAAAAAAAAAAAAAAAACTTTTGTCTCACACAAATGTAAGTTCAGTGGCTGCCATACATTTTTTTATTATGCTCAATTTGACACTACAAGTAATTTACACTTAAAAATCGAGTTGAACTTGCTTAAATTATATATGTAATAAAAAGTATGTAAATCGTGCTTTACAAAAATGTTTATATCAAAAGTTTTTATATACACGCGTACACATTGATTCCCCCTAAAAAGGATGGTTCATCAAAATATATATATTTTATTTATTTATTTAGTTTTTGCACCCTCAAGTTCTAAACCTTTTTGAATTTCTTAAGAAGATATTTTGAAGAATATCTGTTCTAGACACTTTGATGGACCCCATTGACTCCCATTCACGTATATGAAAGTCAATGGGGTCCAAAAACCCCATTGGGGTTTGGTTAGCCATTTTCTTCAAAATATTTTCTTTTGTGTTCAGCAGAAGAAAGAAATTCATACCGGTTTGGAACAACTTGAGGGTGAGCAAATGAGGATGTTGATTAATGTTACCTTTTTGTAGTATTTCTGTTTAGTATGTTACAGGTCCACATGTAAATCAGCCAGGTGATTGAAAGTGAATAAATATCTATTTAAGTTTAGATTTTTCCAGTGATCAAAATATATCACACTGTCCTTGATCAGTGGAAAGCCATTATATAAATAAAGATTATTATTACTATATACTGATTAAGAGGCCTGTCCTATAATTTACTGTAAATCTATACAGTAAGTAGGTGTTTATTGGAATTCTCTGGCATATCAAGCCCGTTTCCAACTCTTCACACACACTCTCAAATAAACACTGGTGTCATTCCCAGCCAGCGCTTGATTAATGGATGTTGGCCTAGTCAGTGTGTTTGTGTATGTGTGTGAATCTACTGTATTCCTGTAATGTAACCAGGCAGGACTGGCAGCCATGGTGAAAGTAGCACTCTAAAAAAACACTCTGTTAAAAAACAACCCACTTTTCAACCCAGGCAAGGGCTGGGTAAATATAGGACCGAACACATGTTGGGTTAATTTTACTTTTATTTAACCCATTCATTTTAAGTATAATACTAGCTGTTTTGGTGTTGCTTTTATTTAGTTAATACATGAATTAATGTCTACAGATTAACTTAAATATTATTTGAACACATATTGTCAAAATTTAAGCTTGTTTTACAAATATTAGAAATTTTTAATTATTTAAAAATAAAACATAAGTAATTCAAGCGTAATCAGGAACTTTTAACTTCAGACTGCCGCCATGCGCCATGTTTCACTCATGGCCGAAATGTACAGCGACTCCATAACCGGTCCATAAACAAAGGGTGTACAGATCTGAGGACATATTTTAACATCATACGTATTTATATTCGGTATCTTTTTCAATAAAATCATAACATATTTAGCAAGGCATCAGGCGTTTTCATCACGAGAAAAAAAAGCGACGCGACCCTTGTTTTGGGGACTCGCATCGCACTGCTGTTATGTTCCTTTGCGTAAGATTAAACAATATACAGAACAATAACGAATTTATGTAATAAAATGTACTCAAACCTGTATTCTACTGAAGACATGCACCTATGTGACGGAGCTGCACTTCTCTCTCCTGAAGAGGTCACTAAAAGCCCACGATTAATAACTCAATCATGGGTTATGTCTCTGACCCAATATCTGGGTAACACAAGAAAACAACCCAAACGCTGGGTTGTTATGTCCAACCCAGGAGCTGGGTAACATACGAAAACAACCCAAATTCTGGGTTGTTATGTCCGAACAAGGAGCTGGGTGACATACGAAAACAACCCAAACACTGAGTTGTTACGTCCGAGCCAGGAGCTGGGTAACGCATGAAAACAACCCAAACACTGGGTTGTTACATCCGACCCATGACCTGGGTAACACACAAAAACAACCCAAACACTGGGTTGTTACGTCTGACCCAGGAGCTAGGTAACACAAGAAAACAACCCAAACACTGGGTTGTTACGGCCGAGCCAGGAGCTGGGTAACACAAGAAAACAACCCAAATGCTGGGTTGTTACGTCCGACCCATGACCTGGATAACACAAGAAAACAACCCAAACACTGGGTCGTTACATCTGACCCATGACCTTGGTAGTACAAGAAAACAACCCAAACACTGGGTTGTTACGTCTGACCCAGGAGCTAGGTAACACAAGAAAACAACCCAAACACTGGGTTGTTGCATCTGACCCATGACCTGGGTAACACACAAAAACAACCCAAACACTGGGTTGTTACGTCTGACCCATGACCTGGATAACACAAGAAAACAACCCAAACACTGGGTTGTTACATCCGACCCATGACCTGGGTAACACACAAAAACAACCCAAACACTGGGTTGTTACGTCTGACCCAGGAGCTAGGTAACACAAGAAAACAACCCAAACACTGGGTTGTTACGTCCGACCCAGGAGCTGGGTAACGCATGAAAACAACCCAAATGCTGGGTTGTTACGTCCGACCCATGACCTGGGTAACACACAAAAACAACCCAAACACTGGGTTGTTACGTCTGACCCAGGAGCTAGGTAACACAAGAAAACAACCCAAACACTGGGTTGTTACATCCGACCCATGACCTGGGTAACACACAAAAACAACCCAAACACTGGGTTGTTACGTCTGACCCAGGAGCTGGGTAACGCATGAAAACAACCCAAATGCTGGGTTGTTACGTCCGACCCATGACCTGGGTAACACACAAAAACAACCCAAACACTGGGTTGTTACGTCTGACCCATGACCTGGATAACACAAGAAAACAACCCAAACACTGGGTTGTTACATCCGACCCATGACCTGGGTAACACACAAAAACAACCCAAACACTGGGTTGTTACGTCTGACCCAGGAGCTAGGTAACACAAGAAAACAACCCAAACACTGGGTTGTTACGTCCGACCCAGGAGCTGGGTAACGCATGAAAACAACCCAAATGCTGGGTTGTTACGTCCGACCCATAACCTGGATAACACACGAAAACAACCCAAACACTGGGTTGTTACGTCTGACCCAGGAGCTAGGTAACACAAGAAAACACCCCAAACACTGGGTTGTTACATCCGACCCATGACCTGGGTAACACACAAAAACAACCCAAACACTGGGTTGTTACGTCTGACCCAGGAGCTAGGTAACACAAGAAAACAACCCAAATGCTGGGTTGTTGCGTCCGAGCCAGGAGCTGGGTAACGCATGAAAACAACCCAAATGCTGGGTTGTTACGTCCGACCCATGACCTGGGTAACACACAAAAACAACCCAAACACTGGGTTGTTACGTCTGACCCAGGAGCTAGGTAACACAAGAAAACAACTCAAACACTGGGTTGTTACGTCCGACCCAGGAGCTGCGTAACGCATGAAAACAACCCAAATGCTGGGTTGTTACGTCTGACCCAGGAGCTGGGTAACACACAAAAACAACCCAAACACTGGGTTGTTACATCCGACCCATGACCTGGGTAACACACGAAAACAACCCAAACGCTGGGTTGTTGCGTCCGACCCAGGAGCTGGGTAACACACGAAAACAACACAAACTCTGGGTTGTTGCGTCTTACCCAGGAGCTGGGTAACACAAGAAAACAACCCAAACTCTGTGTTGTTACATCCGACCCAGGCTCAAAAAATGCTCAACCCAGGATTTATGTAGAATTTTTTTTCCGCATGATCCTGTAACCCATTGTTCCTTGAGCTGCCAAAGTATTTTTTATTACCACACTGAACTACCAGAAATGAATTATGAGTTTATTCATTCACTTGAGTGTTTCAGTTCACGGGCTGTTCCTGAAACATTCCCTGTATGGATTCCCCGAGGACTGGGATGGGAAAACCACAACCTCACGATCCAGTGTGCAGAAACAGATTCATGTAAACTCTTCCAAACATGTGATTTAGCTCTTGCGGTTCACTTCTTGAATTTACTGCAGAACCTCAGGGTTCCAGTCGAAACCAGCCCAAACCGCACCTGACAGCAGGTTGAGTTAGGATGGAGGGAGGAGCAGGAGAGAAAACAGGGGGATGAAGGGTGACCCTCTGAATTCCTCAACTCGCTGTTCTCTGTGCCTGGCAGGAGACGCCTTATTGTGTTTTAATGAAGAAAGGAGAGGAATAATTCTTCCGCTTCACTACAGCTTGCACCCCTGCCTCTCACACTTTCTGTTTTTATACCTCCTCCTCTCTCTCTCTCTCTCTCTCTCTCTCTCTCTCGGTTGGTTTTGTGTGCACTTGTACAGGAATGCACTGGCACAGACTGGTTCTTGTTGGAATGCTTCTTCTTGTTCACTCTTCGGCTGAATCGCCCCCGTCACGGCACGGACCCCCACATATGATCATCCCGGTGTGAAGGACCCCCAACCTAAAACTAATAAGGCCAATTTACACACGTAAAAAAATAATATTATAAATCTAAAATTAGTTTCAGTTACATTATTATATTTTTTGTTCAACTCACTGTATGTATTATATGTATTGTTTATTTTTTCATTTAATTTTAAGCTAATTTAAATTCCTTTATAATAATAGTTTTATTTATTTAAATTTAATTTAACAGATTTGTAACTACTATTTTTTAATCACATATTTAAACCTAATTTATTGCTTTACTATTTTATTTTAATCAAATTATTATTATTATTATTACAGTTTTTTTAGACTTTTCCACAGACCCTCTGTCAATTTAGCGACTGCCTAGCAAGAATTGTAATTCATTTTGTTTTAATTTAATACTATAAATAATATGAACTTATTCATATACTTATATTTAATATTAAAATATAGAAAACTTACATCTATTTCCTGTTGGTGTGTTATATTTAATATTCACTCTAAAAAATGCTGGGTTGTTTTAACCCAATTTTGGGTAAAATGTGGACAAACCCAGCCATTGGGTTAAAACAACTATAAATAATAATTTAATATTAATATTTAATTTTAAACTATTGTTATTTATAATTAAAAATGCCCAAACCACAAAAATAGCTAAATAATTCAGTGTAATATTATAATTATATATATATATACACACACACACACACACACACACACACATTATAATAATGTCTTAAATTGTAATGTCATTGTGTTAAATTATTTCTAATATTCACTAAGTAACCATTTAGTAAAGTACAATGTATTCAAGCAATTATTATTTATAATAAACTGATTTATTTAACAGTTTAAAATATTTAATTTATTTGTTCAATATTTGTTATATTTACTATTATAAATGATTAAAATTAAGGATTTTATTAACATTACATCATATTGTTGTTAATTTTTAAAAGTAAAATATAAATGATTTTTGGCATTATTATTTATAATATGAAACTGATTTATTTAACATTTCCTGGTGTTTTTGAATGACTGATTGCAGTGAAGATGATCTCACAATTCATGTACAGTTTAATTTATTTATTACAAATAATAACAATGTAATCTTAAACTGCTTTATTTGTCAGGTGTTTCCTGGTGGTTTGTGACAGTTCATGCGGTGTGAGTGTAGTTTGACCCCTGTGCCGTCCGTGTCCTGCAGGTGACCTTCAAGCGACCCGCGCCCTGATGATCGTGGGCATCATCGTGTCCATTAGCGGCCTCGGCGTCGCCTGCATGGGCATGAAGTGCACCACCTGTGGAGCGGATGATAAAGTGCGCAAGTCTCGCACGGCCGTGACGGGAGGCATCATACTACTAGTGGGAGGTGAGTGTGTGTGATTTATGAGGACAAAAATGTATATAATGACATGGGTATTACACTAGTATCACAATGTGAATGTGATTTGAGGACATTTCCTGTGTCCTCGCATTTAAAATGGCCTTTAAAACATACGAAACAGGGTTTTATTAAAAATGTAAAAATGCATAAAGTTTTCTGTGATGGGTAGGTTTAGGCGTCGGGTTAGTGTGTGTGTGTGTGTGAGAATACTGAGACAGACTGTTCACGCTAACTGAAGCAAGTTTAGAGTAAAGCATCTCTTATGTAACATCAGTCTCGTCTCAGTCTGTGGGTCAGTGTGTGTGTGTGTGTGCGTGTGTGTGTGTGTGTGTGTGTCTCAGTCTGTGGGTCAGTGGACATCACAGAAGACAGGTCGACCAATGCTTTGATGATATATATCAAAGAATGAAAGCTGTTGTGTGTTGTCTCTGATTGGTTCCTCCAGCCCTGTGCGCAGTGGTCGCCTGCTCGTGGTTCGCCCACAACGTGATCCGAGCTTTCTACAACCCCTTCACTCCAGTCAACACCAAGTGAGCGCGAGGAATTTTACTTTGCACAATTTCTGGAGCAGAGTGTCCCGACTCTGTTCCTGGAGGTCTCCCAAAAAGACACATTTTGAAAGTCTCTGTTATCCGACACACCCATTTCAGTTCTGCTGGTGTTTCAGATTAGGGAAATATCCCAAATGTGCAGTGTCTGTCAGGAGAATCCAGGAACAGGGAGGAGAAACTCCCTGGAATACAATTATATAGTACATTTTATATATATATATGAAGAGTTCAGATGCAAAAGCCTCTAAATGCCATTTGAAATTTTCTTCTAAAATGACCATTTTTATCAAGCTTGTATATTTAAGTTCAGTAATTTCACTTAAATAACAATTAATAGGTAATATTCATTGCCATTTAAGTGAAATTACTGAACTTAAATATACAAGCTTGATAAAAATGATCATTTTAGAAGAAAATTTCAAATGGCACTTAGAGGCTTTTGCATCTGAACTCTTCATATATACATATATGTATGAGGTTTCATTTGTGCCAAAAATGAGTTGATTGCTTTATACTATAAATTTGTGCCATTGCCTACTTGTTCAGTGTAGATTAGTGATATGGCAATTTACATTTTCATTCTTACCGTATGCCGTTTTTGTTAAGACAAATTCGAAAATTGGACTAAAGGTTATTGAATGTTTTATAATACAAAAAAATATAGAGAGAAAAAGACAGACAGATAGAAGGATAGAAAAATGGATAGATAGATAGATAGATAGATGGTAAGACACTGTGGTATCAGACGTTCATAGAAATTATAATCTGTTACACAGTTATTTTTTGCAATTAATTTAATTTGTACATTTTAATTTAAGTTGTTATAATACTTTGTTATTATTACTGTCTTCAGTGTTACAAGCTTTGGCAATATTGTAATATGTACAGTCATGCCAATAAAGCAATTTGAATTGAATTGAATTGAATTGATAGATAGATAGATAGATAGATAGATAGATAGATAGATAGATAGATAGATAGATAGACAGACAGACAGACAGACAGACAGAAGGACAGACAGAAGGACAGACGGATAGAAGGGGTAGACAGACAGATAGATAGATAGATAGATAGATAGATAGATAGATAGATAGATAGATAGATAGATAGATAGATAGATAGATAGATAGATAGATAGATAGATAGATAGATAGATAGACAGACGGATAGAAGGGGTAGACAAACGATAGACAGACAGATAGATAGATCGATAGATAGATCGAGATAGATAGATAGATAGATAGATAGATAGATAGACAGACAGACAGATAGATAGATAGATAGATAGATAGATAGATAGATAGATAGATAGATAGATAGATAGATAGACAGATAGACAGACGGATAGAAGGGGTAGACAGACAGACAGATAGATAGATAGACGGACAGACAGAAGGACAGACGGATAGAAGGGGTAGACAAACGATAGACAGACAGACAGATAGATACATAGATACAGTGCCTTGCAAAAGTATTTGGCCCCCTTGAACTTTTCGACCTTTTGCCACATTTCAGGCTGCAAACATAAAGATGTAAAACTGTAATTTTTTGTGAAGAATCAACAAAAGGTGGGACACAATCATGAAGTGGAACGAAATTTATTGGGTATTTCAAACTTTTTTTAACAAATAAAAAACTGAAAAATTGGGCGAGCAAAATTATTCAGCCCCTTTACTTTCAGTGCAGCAAACTCTCTCCAGAAGTTCAGTGAGGATCTCTGAATGATCCTGAATGTTGACCTAAATGACTAATGATGATAAATAGAATCCTGTGTGTAATCAAGTCTCCGTATAAATGCACCTGCTCTGTGATAGTCTCAGAGGTCCGTTTAAAGCACAGAGAGCATCATGAAGAACAAGGAACACACCAGGCAGGTCCGAGATACTGTTGTGGAGAAGTTTAAAGCTGGATCTGGATACAGAAAGATTTCCCAAGCTTTAAACATTCCTAGGAGCACTGTGCAAGCAATAATATTGAAATGGAAGGAGTATCAGACCACTGCAAATCTACCAAGACCTGGCCGTCCCTCTAAACTTTCAGCTCATACAAGGAGAAGACTAATCAGAGATGCAGCCAAGAGGCCCATGATCACTCTGGATGAGCTGCAGAGATCTACAGCTGAGGTGGGAGACTCTGTCCATAGGACAACAATGGTCGTATGCTGCACCAATCTGGCCTTTATGGAAGAGTGGCAAGAAGAATGGCATTTCTTAAAGAGATCCATAAAAAGTTTGCCACAAGCCACCTGGGAGACACACCAAACATGTGGAAGAAGGTGCTCGAACTTTTTGGCAACAATGCAAAACGTTATGTTTGGCGTAAAAGCAACACAGCTCATCACCCTGAACACACCATCCACACTGTCAAACATGGTGGTGTCAGCATCATGGTTTGGGCCTGCTTTTCTTCAGCAGGGACAGGGAAAATGGTTCAAATTGATTCTGGAAGAAAACCTGATGGAGTCTGCAAAAGACCTGAGACTGGGACGGAGATGTGTCTTCCAACAAGACAATGGTCCAAAACATAAAGCAAAATCTACAATGGAATGGTTCACAAATAAACATATCCAGGTGTTAGAATGGCCGAGTCAAAGTCCAGACCTTAATTTAATCGAGAATCTGTGGAAAGAACTGAAAACTGCTGTTTACAAACGCTCTCCATCCAACCTCACTGAGCTCGAACTGTTTTGCAAGGAGGAATGGGCAAAAATTTCAGTCTCTCGATGTGCAAAACTGATTGAGACATACCCCAAGCGACTGTAATCGCAGCAAAAGGTGGCGCTACAAAGTATTAACTTAAGGGGGCTGAATAATTTTTCAGTTTTTTATTTGTTAAAAAACTTTGAAATATCCAATAAATTTCGTTCCACTTCATGATTGTGTCCCACCGGTTGTTGATTCTTCACAAAAAATTGCAGTTTTATATCTTTATGTTTGCAGCCTGAAATGTGGCAAAAGGTCAAAAAGTTCAAGGGGGCCGAATACTTTCGCAAGGCACTGTAGATAGATGTAGAACAGAGAAATAGTAAATCATGTTTTAGAAAGTAATATAGTGATAGATCAGTTAATAGAGTATCATAGTTAGATCAGTTAATAATATCATTGTCATGGTGTTTGTCTTTTCTCTTCATCTTGTACCGTTAGGTTTGAGTTTGGAGCCGCCATTTTCATCGCGTGGGGCGGCTCGTTTCTGGATGTCCTGGGTGGAGCCATGCTGGCCGCCTCCTGCACTCGAAGCAAACAAGTGCCCAAATATCCCCAGAGTAACTGCGCACGCACCGCCAGCAACAGCAGCAACAAAGAGTACGTGTGAGCAACACACACACACCGGACACACACTCACTGAGACACTCAGAAGCTCAAGAGCTGCTCAAACTGAGGAGGAGAGCCGTTTACAATAATGTCCCATAATAACAAAATCAAAAAGGCAATCAGTTGTCCAGAAGTTCAAATAAAAATAGATAATATATTATGTTTTCTCTATGAGAAGAGAGGAAATGTCTTGGGTGGTGGATCATATGTTGTCCACTAGGGAGCGCTGTAACACACACTGAGCTGGTGTGAAAATGGAGAGATTTTCAAGATCTGCTTGTTTTGTGGAGTATTTATCCTATAGCAGCTGAAATGCTAACATTATTAATACTCATACGAGGCACTCTTATGTAATCGCAGTGTTTCATGTGGATCACGAACGACGTTTTGATGTTATTTGCTTTAACACATTAACTCATCACTCGTGTTAAGGCCCGATCACGTTCATTTTAACCACCTATGAGTCCTTCTGAATAGCTCTTAGCATAGCATAAATGTTTTCCTGATAGTTGACTATTGTTTATGTATTTGTTTTACAAGCTTATTTTCAATAAAGTTTGCTTTATCACATTCCCAGTGTGAATCTGCATTACATATGAGGTTTTGAATGTAACTTAAACCTAGAAATAAAAGATTTCACTCTTTTTTTCACATAAAAAACTAACAAACTACCTTGTAACCAATCAGATCAACGTGTGATCGTCAACCAGTGGATCTCTGAGCTGAGTGGAGGCGGGGCTCATTCGCATATTCATATAACCGTGCATACCAAATGAGGCAAAAGTGGGGGTTTTTAATGCCGTTTTAGTGATCAAATTTGAATAAAAATGTTAATTGAGTTTTAAGGGACCAAATTGATTAAGTAAATTTTTCAATTGAAAAAACTAACCTTTTTCAAGTAGGCCAAACTCAAAACACTAATGTCAATAAAGTCACTCATGCATACTTTATTCCCCCGAAACAATTTACAAAAATCCATTAATTCCCATGCAAACATCTAGAAGTCGAAGACATTTTGACTAACGTGAGATTGTTTGTCGCGGTCAGTACGCATTTAAGATTGATTCAATTCAAACAAACAAACAAAAAAAGAGCAGGCACAGTGACTAAACATTTAACTGATGTCATTTAGAGATAAATATATCTCACGTGAACAGAGTTTCACTGGAAAAATGTCCTCTTTGGGAGATGAGTAATCCAACCGGATGAGGTTAGCTTTCATGTATGTAAAGTGCAAATTTAATAAATACAGCCCTGTTGCATTAGAGATCATCAAGACCTTCAGGATCATCAGTTAAGTGACGAGCAAGCGTAAAGTGAACAGGAAGCAAGTCCACAGTTCTCTCGTTCGCCCTCGAAGAGGCCGTAAAAGCTCGTACAGTGAAGGTGAGGGCGTGTTTGTGAGAGAGATTTGAGTTCGGTTCAGTCGTTTGGCACAGTCAGGCGACGGGTGACACTCTCCGAGACGCCGGGAAGCTTCTGTTATTGTTCATGATATCATCCAAGTCCTCGTCATCTATAACCACTGTAAAAGCAAAACAAGAAATGTGTCAACAGAGTGGAAACGAGAGATTACGATCTACTGGGAAGTTCGCATTTATGACGAGAGGTGCGCAAGATAGCGATGTATACATAACATACACAGACGTGATGAATAAAGCATGTGCATCGGGTGTGTTTTGCTTTGTTTTTACTCAGTTTATAGACCATTTCACAAGATGTAAACAACACTGGTCCAGAAGCACTTCCTGTTTCAGTTTTTTTAACACTACATAAAAGCTGGAATAAAATACAACCAACAGAACATTTAAAACTGAATCAAAAAGTTAAACAAACATCTTTAAGATGTTTTCTTTACATGTGAAATAAAGAAAACAGTTACAAACTGAAACAGGAAGTGTTTCTGGACCAGTGTTTACATTTTGTGAAATGGTCTATAAAGATGTTGCCGACTGAATCGTTCAGTGGTGGAGGAAGTACTGAATCTCAGTACTTAAGTAAAAGTACAAATAATCAGATAAATATTTACTTTAGTAAAAGTAGAAGTAACACAATGACAACCATACTTAATTAAAAAGTACCTGATTTTAAATGTACTTTAAGTATTAAAAGTAAAAGTACTTGCATAACAATTGATTCTCTTCATGACTATTTTCTAATGATTAATAAAACATTTAAATCTAACTCATTCAACCTAATACTCCTATAATGATGTTCAATAATGATGAAAAAAATGATTGTCACCATTTCTGAAACAAGCTTGCAATTAGGCAATATACACATCATGCTTATCCTTACTATATGTTAATAACTATGGCAGTAAACACGATTAATTTATGGTGTAATTCTGAACCTCTTGGCTTGCCATAATCCTAACCAAACGTATATTACACACGGTGCGTTTCCTATGCACGTAAAAACTAATTTTCGCGTATAAATTGCACGATAAACACACTGCTTGCGAGACGCATTTAGTTGATGTATCTATGGCAACCAAACGTCACTGGTGAGACAAACGTGCAACGAACGGACGGTCAGATTACGTTTTGGGAGGGGAAAAACTGATCCGAAAATGTAACGGAAGTTGTAGAAATGTAGTGGAGTAGAAAGTAGAATAATTGCTGCAAAATGTAACGAAGTAAAAAGTATGCACTATTTATTCTACTTAAGTAAAGTAAAGATACGTGAAAAATGTACTTAAGTAAAGTAACAAAGTATTTGTACTTCGTTACATTCCACCACTGGAATCGTTACACGCTACCGGTCAAAAGTTTGGGATCGGTACGATTTTTAATGTTTTTAAAGGGATAGTTCACTTTGAAATTAATTTTTGATATGTTTTATCTTACCTCAAGGACATCCAAGATGTAGGTGTCTGTTTCCACAGTATTTTCAATTTTGACATTTCTCAGTCAAACCGTTGTTGTCTATCAGTCATACACTGGAGGCTAAGGGGGTCCACCAAAGAGCATGCAAAGAAGTCAAAATTAAACATGATTTAATGACTCGTAAATGTAAGAACACATTGATGGCCTAAGACACGAAACGAGCGGTTTGTGTGAGAAAACGAACAGTATTTATATCGTTTTTACCTCGTGTAATCACAGTGATCTGAATCAGTTGTTCAATGTCCAACTGAACCGAACTGAATCAGTTCAATGTGACGCCGGAAGTGATCGCTTGCGTGTGACGTCACTCAATATTTACATGGAGATTTCGGAAGTTTTACTTTTTACTAAACATATTTAGATGTACCGAAATCATCTTCCATTGCGGTTTCCCGTATATCTAAATATGTTTAGTGAAAGGTAAAACTTCCGAAATCTCTTTATAAACAAAGAGTGACGTCAGCACGCAAGCGATCATTTCCAGCGCATGCGCAGACCGAAGTGCCCGTGCCGTCAGATCATTTTGTCATGGCTATGATTACAAGAGGTAAAAACGATATAAATACTGTTCGTTTTCTCACACAAACCGCTCGTTTCGTGTCTTAGGCCATCAATGTGTACTTACATTTACGAGTCATTAAATCATGTTTAATTTTAACTTCTCTAAGCATGCTCTTTGAGGTGAACCGATTGATGACCCCCTTCACCTCCAGTGTATGACTGACAGACAACAACGGTTTGACCAAAAAATGTCAAAATTGAAAATACTGTGGAAACAAAGACACCTACATCTTGGATGCCCTTGAGGTAAGATAAAACATATCAAAAATTAATTTCAAAGTGAACTATCCCTTTAATATTCTCTTCTCCACACCAAGGCTGCATTTATTTGCTTAAAAAATAATAATAAAATTGTGAAATATTATTACAAGTTAAAACAACTGTTTTCTATATGAATATATAGTGAAGTGTAATTTATTCCTGTGATCAAACCTCTATTTTCAGCAGTCTTCAGAGTCACATGATCCTTCAGAAATCACTCTGATTTGATGATCAAAAATATTTATTATTATTATCAATGTTGAAACCAATTGTGTACATTTTTATTTCAGGATTCTTTGATGAATAGAAAGTACAAAAAGAACAGCATTTATCTGAAATAGGCGCGTGAACTGCAACTCGGCGTATAGAAATATATTGAAATGTCTACTTTTAAACAGAATAAATCAAAACGAACGACAGACTGCTCTCTGCTGTAATCCGTATGAAATGTGCATTTCTCTCTGGCGTGTTTACTGAAGATCGCGAGTCAGATCGTTGTCAACTTTGCAGCGACACTGACTGGAAACACTTGTTTATTAATAAACAATTAAAATGTCTCCTTGCCATATTTGATGTATTCACAATCGTTACTTTTGCCAGTTCTTTGTGACAGCTTTTATGTGCTTTATTGGCAGCGCCACCCTTGCATGAATAACCGCACCTGCATTTCTTTTTAAAATATGAATTTATCGGCCATTTTAAATGCCGATACCGATATCGGCCGGGCTCTAATATCTCCAGATAGAAAACAGTTATTTTAAATGGTCATAATTTTTAACAATATTATTGTAGTTTTTGTATTTGTAATCAAATAAATGCAGCCTTGGTGAGCAGAAGAGACTTCTTTAAAAACTTAAAAGTGCCAGTATATATTGTAACGTAATTGTACAATACTGTTGTGTTTTGTACATGAAATTAGAGGGTTTTATTGTAGCCTAAAAAATAAAATAATAATTTAGTTAACAAATTTAATGAATCTGTAAATTTGTTAACTAAATTTAACAAACATCGACACGCTCATCTCAGAAACATCTCTGTTTTTCTCTCGTAATTACGACTTGTGGTGACTATCGTGTGTGTTCAACAAAGTTCAAGTTATTATTAATAACTCAAAAAGGGAACATGTTGCTCATGACGGATCTAAGGATTCTCAATAATAACCTGTTACTTCAACAAAGCAATATGTAAACAACATTTATTTCTATTTTCTTTTTTTGTAGCTACTATTATTATTCATGTCATATGATTATGGTTTTAGTGACTGTTTAGAGATGACAGAATGTCTTGAAAGTTTTGCCGTCACAGGACAATGTTGTGAAGCATAAAAAATGTTGTTTTTTTATATATAATTACATTTGTTGGATTTTTACTGGTCAGATGAGTATTGAAACATGTGCAACTAAGATTATTCAATAAACTCTGCTCATATCATTATTACTACGACTTCCGTCGCTCTTTTTACATTACATTTACATTGTAAAGCTCTTCTTCCCTGTCTTTCTCACTCAACGTCTTGGCTGTTCACACAGTTTTGTGTAGAAGACATAACACTGGTTTTGGGAACCCGACAACAAGACTTGCTCTTACTGGGTTTTGGATACCAGACAAAAGAGACCTGATATCTGCTGGCAGGATCCGGCATCAGATCATCTGAAATGTTTGACATGTTGGCATGATCTCACGTAACATTTGTGTGTAGACGCCAAGATGTCGGCACAATCTGACATTTATTTGGAATCTTAAAATTCGATTAAAAAAGTTTGTACCTAATTCTGTAGCTGGAAAGCTTTAGGAGATATATATAACTTTTCCTAGCGCCTCCTGAAAACATCCAAAATGTGCAGTTCTGAGGAGGCGCCGTGGGTCATTATAAAGGCTTAGTTCGTTCGCTCATTAATTCGTTCCAATCCAAACACGTTTCTGAATACAAATGAAGATATTTTTTGATAAAATCTGAGAGCTTTCTGTCCCTCCATTGACAGCTACGCAACTACCACTTTGATGCTTCAAAAAGTTCATAAAGAGATCGTAAAACTAATCCAAATGAATTGAGCGGTTTAGTCAAACATTTTTGAAGAGACTCGATCATTTTATGTGATGAATAGATTTAATTCAGGCTTTTATTCACATTATAAACATTTATCAGCAAACAGAAACTCAACCGAACCTGCTTTATCCGCAAGAACAAACCTCATTGGTTCACGCTGAAGCTCAAACGTGATGCGTAACATGAAAATGAACCTTATTGGTTCTTGCGGAAGCTCAAACGTGATGCGTAACATGAAAATTAACCTCATTGGTTCTTGCGGAAGCTCAAACGTGATGCGTAACATGAAAATTAACCTCATTGGTTCTTGCTGAAGCTCAAACCTGATGCGTAACACGAGAATGAACCTCATTGGTTCTTGCGGAAGCTCAAACGTGATGCGTAACACGAGAATGAACCTCATTGGTTCTTGAGGAAGCTCAAACGTGATGCGTAACATGAGAATGAACCTCATTGGTTCTTGAGGAAGCTCAAACGTGATGCGTAACATGAGAATGAACCTCATTGGTTCTTGCGGAAGCTCAAACGTGATGCGTAACACGAGAATGAACCTCATTGGTTCTTGCGGAAGCTCAAACGTGATGCGTAACACGAGAATGAACCTCATTGGTTCTTGCTGAAGCTCAAACGTGATGCGTAACATGAAAATGAACCTCATTGGTTCTTGCGGAAGCTCAAACCTGATGCGTAACACGAGAATGAACCTCATTGGTTCTTGCTGAAGCTCAAACGTGATGCGTAACACGAGAATGAACCTCATTGGTACTTGCGGAAGCTCAAACGTGATGCGTAACATGAAAATGAACCTCATTGGTTCTTGCGGAAGCTCAAACGTAAAGCGCAACACGAGAATTAAAGTCAAGTAATTAAATAAGTTCATCATATAAAGCATTTGAGTATCTTCAGAAAATCTAGACTAAGCCGCTCAATTCATTTGATTTAGTTTTAAAATCTTTATGAACTTATTAAAGCACGTAGGTTCAGAATCTCTCAGATTTAATACAAAACATTCATTTGTGTTCCTAAGATGAAGGAAAGTTTAACGGACCTGGAACGACACGAGGGCGAGTATTAACGACAGCAGAATATTCATTTTTGAGTGAACTATCCCTTTAAAAACAAACCTTAATTTCGATATTTTGGTCTCGGGTCAAGGATTTTAAAAGAAGAAAAAAAATCTCACAGTAACTACATTACAAGTCAACACAAAAACACGGTGATTACATCACACACACCTCTCGTGGAGCGCCCGATCTGCCCGAGTTTGGGGGCTCGCTGCACTCTCCGCGGGGCGGTCAGGAGGTCTGGTCGGGTTCGCCCTGCCTGTCCGAGCTCGTACGGGATCGCCGGACTGGGTTGTAAAGCACCTGTCGGTGGTATGAGATCGGGCATCTCTGCCATGCCGTACATGACCTCTTGCTGTTGTTCTTTGGTGTGTGTATTCATAAAAAACGACCAAGTCGTTGGTTTGGCTGGGCACTTCCGCGACAAATGTTTCTCAATACACCTATTCTGGACCCAGTGTTGAAACACCTGAGGAGGGAGAAAACGAAAGGAAAAAGGCGATTAACCTATATGCCCATAATAATTTAATCTATAACATAAGCAATCGGATTACACCTTGTAAACACACAAGACAGTGACGAAGAACGTGTTCGCGTGCACCGGATGAGCTTGAGTATGTTCACGCTTGTCAACAACAAAGCTTTCCCTTACATTACATTATGTTATAGCCGAAACATGTAATACACACATTTAGAACAACGAAACGTGCCCTTACCTTGTATGTGTCCGGAGTGTGGATGCTGTCGACACGTATTTGGTTTCTGTGTCGATTTGTACGCCGTGTTCAACGCGAGTCGGAAGTTGCCTCTAGTCTGTCGTAACTCTCACTTGGGGATTTCCTTGGTCGTTTCTGGATGCGTCACTGCGAGGGAGGGCCTGAAAGCCTCAACACACACACACACACACACACACCGTGAGCCGTGAGTAGGTGCTTATTGACGGTTCGCCCACCGTGTGTGGGCTCGTCGCCATCTACGACATGAAAACCCACACTGTAGCCTACGGATGTTTCACGGTTTGTCTTGTTAAATAAAAAGAATTTATATTACTTAAAATGACTCACTTGTAGGCTACTTATTGACAACACATTAGAGGAAGAGGAGAAAAATAAACAAAACACATATCTTGAGAAATTCATCAATTTTAAGAGTAGGCCTATCCTAAGCGCTGGGTATAGCTACTGGTAAAAAAGAAAAAAAGTGGCTAAAAGCTTTATGAAATATTAAATACATGCAGTAATTGTGATAACCTGTTTATTTTCATTTATGAAAATGAAGTCCAAACAGAAACCCTGCATTGTTGCTTTGAGTTTCTGGTAAAACTCACGTCTTGTGACATTAGTGCTTGTCTTTCAGTTTGCAATCTGGCACAGGTGAAACTTGAAAAATTCGAATATCGTGCAAAAATATCATTTTAATGAATATGGCTTATGAAAACCCCAAATTCAAAATCTCAGAAAATTAGAATATTACATGAAATCAATAAAAAAAAGGGACATGTCGGCCCTGTAAAAAGTATAATCATGCATATATACATACTAAATATGTTTCTTTTTTTTTTATTTGAATTACTGAAATACATACTTTTGTATGATATTAAAATTTTTCAAGTTTCACCTGTAAGGACTGTGTGTCCCGCTGGCATGGTGCTTCCTTTCTGTTCATCTATTTGTGCAGGCGGACTTCTATGTGTGCGTGTGTGTGTGTGTGTGTGTCTGAGTGTATTATAGGGATAGTTCACTTTGAAATTAATTTTTGATATGTTTTAGCTTGCCTGAAGGGCATCCAAGATGTAGGTGTCTTTGTTTCCACGGTATTTTCAATTTTGATATTTTTAGGTCAAACCGTTCTTGTCTGTCAGTCATATAATGGAGGTCTATGGTCACCACCTCAAAAAGCATGCACAGAGAAGTCCAAATTAAACATGATTTTATGACTCGTAAATGTACGTACACATTGATGGCCTAAGACACGAAACGAGTGATTTGTGTGAGAAAACGAACAGTATTTATATCGTTTTTACCTCAGCGTAGCGATTTAGATTTAATCTGTACAGTAGTATCGCATAGACCTTCAGACTGACGGCTTAGCCAACTTTCCGTGGGCGTGACGTCTGAGGCTGAGACTACCTGTACAGTTATGTTCCCAAACCATCGTGTAATGCTATACCTAACAATACTTTACTAAACAGCTTTGTAAAACAACAGCATGAGCTTTGTGTTAACCCCATAAAGACGAAATCTGAGTACAAACCCAGTGGAAGATTCAGTGGAAACCCGTCTTCAGGTTTATATTTACTTTCTGTTTTATGAAATAACTAATATAACATGGTTTGTTTAGTCATGCTAGTTTGGCAACTTTACAAAAATAAAATAGGTGCTATATGTAAGAAGAGCAGACATTTGAGCAACAAAATCCCAATGATTTTGAGTGGGTTTTGAACATCAATACACTCTCTGTTTGCATACAAGGGAGAAACAGTAAAATATGAACATTAGTGTATTGTTTCATGGCTCATAAGAAGTATGTATGCATCAAAAATGTTTGCAATTTGTCCCTTCTGTGTGGCCAAAAATATTTTTTTTTATTTCACAGTCTATATACCAAATATACTGTTCTGCATATACTTCTTAAGCAACTCTATTAGATATTCAATCCCACCTGACAGGATCAACTTTATCAGATTTAACATGTTGTCTCTTGAGTATTGTCGGATTACAAGTAAACAAACAGTATCTCCTTTCTCATTCAGATAAAATTGTGGTATGCACGATGGACATGTCGAGGCTTATTCATGCCGTTAAACTTACACCCCATGAATAGTTGAGAGTATAAAGGGGTGAAGTGGGAAGGGGAGATAATCATTACACGAGGGGATAAAACGAGATATAGTCCTTCAACAGCGCAAGAGTGAAGATGTCCAAACCAATCTGTCTGGGGTTTGCCTTGCTGATTCTGACCACAATTTTGTGCAACAACTCAGGTAATTTCTGGAACAGAACGTAACTTACACTACTAGTTTTCACATGAATATTATCCCAAGGGAATTTTTTAATATTAACTTTGAGTGAGCAAGTTACATCACTGTAAAAAAAATTGTAAAATTTACGGTAAAAAATGGCTCAGTAAATATACCGTAAAAATACGGTAGCCACTTAAATTTACAGTAATTTTTATTATCTGACATAATTTTTACCAAACTATTAAGTCCTATTTCGTACCAAAAAAATACAGTAGACACTTAAATTTACAGTATTTTTTAATTTTTATTATCTGATATTATGTTTACCAAACTACTAAAGTCCCATTTTGTACCAAAAATAGTACAGTAGCCACTTAAATTTACAGTAAATTTAAAATTTTTATTATCTGATATAATGTGTAACAAACTATTAAAGTCCTATTTTGTACCAAAAAATACAGTAGCCATTTAAATTTACAGTATTTTTTTTAATTTTTATTATGTTATATTATATTATGTTTACCAAACTACTAAAGTCCTATTTTGTACTAAAAATAGTACAGTAGCCACTTAAATTTACAGTAATTTTAAAATTTTTATTATCTAATGTGTACCAAACTATTAAAGTCCTATTTTGTACCAAAAAATACAGTAGCCACTTAAATTTACAGTATTTTTTTAATTTTTATTATCTGATATTATGTTTACCAAACTACTAAAGTCCTATTTTGTACCAAAAATAGTACAGTAGCCACTTAAATTTACAGTAATTTTTACATTTTTATTATCTGATATAATGTGTACCAAACTATTAAATTCCTATTTTGTACCATTGTAATACACTGACAACCACTAATCACAGTGTAAATTTTTCCCTTCCAAAAACGGTAAATTTAACATTATTCCACAGTAAAATTACATCAAATGTACGGTTAGATCTATCACAGTTATTCACCTAAACTTTCTGTTAGCCTATTAACAGTTTTTCACCGTAGCATTTTACCGTTAAATTCACAATATTTTTTTTACAGTAAAGCATATGATGTTGTGTTTTCTGAAATCATGGTTGTTTATCCTTTCGATGTGAGACTAATGTCACCTCATGTCTCTATGCAGTGCGTTCACAGAGGGGATCCTGGAAATCATCTGTTGTTTGTGGCTGCAGATGTAAGAAATAAGTCTTTTTGCCAAAGCATTGTGTGCTAAAAGTATTAATATGAACCACGAAAGTATTTCATTTTTACTGTAATATTCAAATCTCTCTTCTTAGTTCATCATCAGAATAATGTTCTGCAGTGTACAAAGAGACACAGTCCTAAAACCACTGAGGAGTACAACAAAATGATCGAATGTATTTGCAGGAACCGCCCGACATGTAAGTTAAACATGATTTAGTATAACAATTGCAATTATGGAAGATATATTAATCATCAAACAAAAATCTGTTTTCTTTACAGATTTTAATGATGCCTCAAAGATTCTGTTTCTGAACATGTGCCACTCAAACTCTCAAACTCCTTTGTGATCTCAGCTTTATAAAGTTTCTCAGGATGATTTGTCTCATATCTATACCCAACATGTACATTTAAAGTCTAATGACTTCAGTATAATCACGAACAATGCTAAGTGAATCTTAAAACAACACAATAAAAACATGTAAACTGCTGAAACATATTTTTCTGTTATCACTGTGTGTTTGTTATGATAACAATGATATTGTGTTCTGTATCTCCACTGGTCATCTTTGTTTACAGCAGCCTTTACCAATCCAGGTTTTTTGGTCAGATTTAGACTTTATTTGAAGAATCATGCATGTTTTAACAAGACACTCGCCCCTCTCAGGTTCAACTTGGACCAAAAAGTGCATTTTTACTTCTGTATCTGTAAAGCAAATCTCTATCTTTCTAAAGATCACACTTGTGAGGCTTAAATTTGCTGCATTTTCACCCCTCTGCATCACAGAATCTGATAATATGATATCTGTTTTCATAACTAACAAGATTTCTTGGAATTACTTGACCCAAAAATGACCGAATGTGACATAATTCTCCTCTATGAGTGTGCATTTTTATTGTTTATTTAATACTTCGGTCCAACAGTATTCATCATCTAAAAAATGCTGTTGCTTCAACCCAACTTTGGGTCAAATATGGACAAAACTTTTTAAAAATTTTTAATTCAACTGAAACATTTTTAAATTGAATTGTTTAACCCAACAAACATTTTTGACTCAAAGTTGGGTTGAAGCAACAGCATTTTTTAGATGATGAATAAAATGATAAATAAAAAGTAGACTGAAAGAAAACAACCCAGCATTTTTTAGAGTGTGTATTTTGCAAGGAAATACTGTTATTATTTATACATTATCATTATAATTTTTTTATAATTCAATTAGACCAATAATTGAATAAGACACATTTGATTATCAAATTGCATTTAATACTCATATTATTGGCTGTGCTTGTGCGGAGATTATGGTGTTTTTATTACTCATTAGTCAGCTTGAGATCGTTTCCATCTAAACCGGTTATATAGTGAATATTTTATGAGCAGTTTAACCATATTCATCCGCACACTCACACAGAGATGAAGCACAACCTGAACAATGCTATTCCGCAAAATACATGCAGTTTTGTTTTTATAGGCTACCTTTAATAATTGATTTATCTGACGAATTCGATGGACTGTATACATAAAATGGTGTGTGTACATAAAATATCAACAGGAGATCATTTTTCATCCAGGCTGCTGATAAGATTATTATATATATTATAAGACTATTTAAGACTATTTATATACTCTCTTCCTGAATTAATAAGGCATTTAACATCATTCGTTGTCTTGAACCTATTTTTCTCTGGAATTTAAAAGATTTAAGTGTGTTAAACAATCAAATACAATAAATGTTTGTAATAGTATTGGATATCAATATTAAAATGGCGCAGGAATTGATTTCACTGTGAAGAGATCAGAACCCCCCTGCTATTGCCTGTGAGTGGTACAGTCCAAAACTGGCCAGTGAAATGGGAAGGCAACGGGCAAGTGGAACTCTGGACTTTATGGATGCTGGGGGGAGGGGGATGTGGAGCATCTCACGCTAAATGACACCTGCTTAAAATTGTTAATGTTTGGGTTGTCGTTGTGTGTTTGCAGCAGGTGCTTGCCTTTATTTGTTTTAAAGATGAACAGGGCAACAGGAGGATCCCCATATGTCTACCCTTGTTGGGCTGTGTGTATCGAACAGCGGAACGAGAACGTTACGACATTGAGGTGAAATGAAATCACTCGTGCAATGACGTTAAATGAGGTAAACTACATCTAGGTTCAAATACTGTGACAATAAACAAAAACAGCATTCAGAGATATGTTCTCGTAGGGGTGAGCGCGGGTCACAAATTAACACACAGTTTAAAACTTTACACTCGAAACTTTACAGTTGCCATATCGAGAAAAAAATGCGCCAAACAAATTGCGCCAAAATTCAAAAATCTTTGGAAGATATTAGCATTTATTTAACCATTGGCAATGGTACTGAATAACAGATTTAAGATTAAAATAATATCAGATGTGTCTCCTTTTAAATAAACACACACACAAAACGATTTAAACATTTGAGAGTCAATGTTATGTTTTGAACCATCCTGTATAGCCATGTTTTCTGGTGTGTTCATTGTCAAACTCAAAAAATAGTTTATTTTTAAGGATCAGAAGTGCCATTATTTTATTTGAAAAGGTTAATAGTTTTATTTTATTGACAAAATATGATTGTTTTTATATTTTTTATTAGATAAGATAACATTTTAAGCTGTCATATGGTCATGTTACAATGTGCCCCACCTATGGGGCATGTTGTCACATTCACTTCCAGGAGAAAATCAAGAAAAAAGTATACACAGTATCAATAAAACAAAACCACATACTGTATGTGTACTTGGCATGTGTGAAATGAATGTGGTAAAAACTGTATTCTCTCAACCCCAAGTGAATTTACACTAACTGAGAATGTCAAAAAGTGTTTGGTTGTGCCTCACTCTCGTCTATATTAGTATGGTGGGACTATATTGCACCGAATTTCTGTTTGGAAGCCTCTATTACTCTCTCAGTATTATTCAAATTCAACGTGGGATTTCCAATGGTTATGCAAGCATGTAAACACTTCCACAAACAGGCACCCACACATGCACACACACATCCACGCATGACCCGATGCACACACACACACACACACTTACATTCCACCCTTATGACCCTCTTCCAAAACCAAGTGCGATAAGCATCTTTTCTCAAGACCAAACTCACTGAAATCTCTTCTGGAAACTAACTCCCACAACACAAACCAGTGCGCCGTGACCATGTATTATGAGATATCATGCTTTTTGCAGAAAGAAAGAGCTCGATCAATATCAGACTGGAGTCATAAAGTCATGATCTTTTATTATTATTATGACAAACAAGTATCGAATAACTTTTTTACACTTATATTGGATTTATTATTGAAATAATGTATGGAATGAGGAACTGGTCTCAGATGATGATCAGTCAAAAGTCAGAGTCTACAATATCAAAGCCCTTTTCAGCTTGAAATTGAATATCCCACTAAAGACTGACATGTAAAATTCAGAAGTGCAGTATGTAAGGCCCTGTCCACACTACTGCGTTTTCATTTAAAAACGAAGATGTTTTTCAATGTTTGCACCTCCCGTCCAACCTAAAACGCAAAAACGAAGACCTAAAACGGAGAGTTTAGAAACGCTGCAGCTCCGTTTTGCGTTTTGAATCTCCGGAGGGCGTTTTAGTGAAGACGGGACAAAACGGAGGAGTTTAGAAACGCTGACGCAGAGGCACGCGCTCGGCTCATGTGTCATCAGTCGTGACGTGTCCTTCCCTGTTTCGTCAGCCACCGTTTACATGGGCACGTGCATGCCCAGTGTTGGTGAATGGTTACGTGATCAGAACCCATCTAACGGAGAGCCTTGGCACTTCCTATTAGCCCCGTTGTGTATCATCTTGGTTGCAGTTCCATTATAATTCCACTGGAGGTGATCGCGAGCGAGAGCAGAATGAATGGGAGTCTATGGGGCTAAACGGCTAAATGTGTCTCTTTCTTATAGATAGACATAGATTTTATTGTTGATTCCGCAAGTTCAATATAGATTATAGGCCAAAAGTCGAATGAACGAGTACTTATGTCCTTTCGATGTCTTACAGGTTAGGCCGTTGTTGGCCGGAGCACGCTAGCATTCTGCTGTTGTGTGACGTCATCACAGTTTTGAACGGATTTTTAGAACAGATAAGTGAACTTAAAAATGCAATTTCAGCTGAGTGTATTATCTTAGCCCTCCCTTTTGAATGAAACTTTCAAATTACTTGACAAAAAATTACATCCTGAGGGTGAAACCCCATAGACTCCCATTCATTCTGCACTCGACCGCCAGCGCCCCCGCATGGACAGAGAATGTTACTGCAGCCAGTCCAGAAACCGAAAGTAACCAGCCAGCGCCAATTCTTTTCAATTAGACATTCTCTGACGTAATCCGCGTTTGTCAGTGAACAGAGATCAATTCTAATCAATACGCAGATAACATTGACAGCTAGTGGCTGAAATAGGGACATCAGCCCAAATTCAAAAAGTTGTTTCTCCCGCCTCCTCCTCAGTTGCCAACTAAACTTTCTTTCAAAAAGCACCTAGCAACAAATTTAGCAATTTTTCAAAGTTATTTAGCAACTTTTGGAAAGTGACTTTAATAGGCCTATCCAGAGCCATATAGAGATAAATGTATATCTCTATAGAGGATCTCTCTATATGGCTCTGTGCCTATCCAAACAACACACTGGTACCTGCCTATGTCAGGCCACCAAAACTGCGGTAGCCACCATTCAACCTGAAGAAGGCAGCACTCAGACGGTGGTGTTGAATTTGGAAGTGGGCGGAGTCACAGATCAAAACATAAACAGATGTGGAAGACTGAAGGAGCACTAGTTGTTGAAAGATGAGATTATCTTGTAACACTAACAAGTCTGACCTGCTCTGTTCAAAAACATTAGATTGTGCTAAGCAGATTTATCTTTTTCAAACCAGGAAATATTTGTTGAATAATCAAACTCACTCAACTGGTTCATTTTTTCAAATTCATTTTTTACATACAACTATAATAATCTAAACAAAGTTTAATAATAGTAATAAGCCATTTTTATATTTTTGTATAATTAGGCGATAAAAATGGTCTCCTGTGATATACTGTTGTGATGTACTGTCCATTAGAGTTCACTGTCGTATTCGTGGTATTTTTTAAGTGTGTTATTTTTAATTTTTTATTCATTGAATTTTATTTTATTTATTTAGTGGACGTGTCTGTGAATAGTGTGTGCTTATAAGATTTGAGGGGCCGTTTGCACGACACTGCTATTAACTTAAAACAGCGTTTCGGGTCCTAAAAAGACGGGTTTCAATGCGGTTACCATCTCGGAGTAAACTAAGATGAACACACAAAGACAATACAATACCAGAGTGACAGAGACATGACATTTAAAGGCCAAAAATACTCGTCTTTTACAGATGCATTATGCAATCACGTTAAAAGGTCGTCACACAGGCGGAATTACCAACCGAGTGTTTCAAAGTAAAAAAAAAAAAAAGCTAAAACTATGATGTCGGACAATTTTGAAGTTGAAAAAGAAAATGAGATGTAGATTTTTTACCCTACCGCCGTACTTCTGCTTTTCTGCGTGATTATTACATAATGTGTGTCGCATCACACAGAGATAGTGCATTTTTGGTTGAAAAGTATCATATATAACAATATATATATATGAAGAGTTCAGATGCAAAAGCCTCTAAATGCCATTTGAAATTTTCTTCTTTAATGATGATTTTTATCAAACTTGTATATTTAAGTTCAGTAATTTCACTTAAATAACAATTAATAGGTAATAATCATTGCCATTTAAGTGAAATTACTGAACTTAAATAAACAAGCTTGATAAAAATGATCATTCTAGAAGAAAATTTCAAATGGCACTTAGAGGCCTTTGCATCTGAACTCTTCATATATATATATATTGTTTTTAGAAAATTACCTATCATTTCAGACGCTTATTCCTCTGTTGAGACTTTTGAAGCGGCACTGAAACTAACATTTGGACCCTCAAACCATTGGACCACATTGAAGTCCACCTTAATCTCGTTTCGACCGAAAGACATTTTTATTTGATAGTCCAGTGGTTTATGGTAATTCCTGTTCTCTTTATATGATTTATTATCAACCACAATTTGCATACGTTAAGTTTGGGACCGGATCGGATGTTACTGCTCCCTATAATGCAGATTAGACCCCCAGAGGCCTTGCTAGACTTGCACGGGCTGTTTTACAGAAACTTAAGCCTGTAGTCTCAGGCTAAAATAAGTCTATTTCAACTAAAAGCAATTCACACTGATTAGCCATCAATGCCATTATTTTCTCTCAAGATGCACATCAGTAATGATTTATTCTAAGGCACTTCACTCTAAACAATGCTGGGTTGTTTTAACCCAAATTTGGGTCAAATATGGACAAACTCAAATGTTGGGTTAAAAATGTCATTTCAAATTTTAACCCAACTTCAACTTTCACTTTCAACTGTACATTTTTTTTTAATTGCATTTTTAACCCAACATTTGGGTTTGTCCATATTTGACCCAAACTTGGATTGAAACAACCCAGCATTTTTTACAGTGATAAGGCCTAAGCCTTAAATTTCTTGTGCGAATTGACAATTACAAAGCATTCATGCCTGACATGTTTTGATGAACAATATATTCTAAAAAAAAAAAAAGCTGGGTTGTTTTAACTCAATTTTGGGTCAAATATGGACAAACCCAAACGTTGGATTAAAAATGCAATTTAAAAATAAAACCCAACATTGGTTTGTCAATAAATGACCCAAAATTGGGTTGAAACAACCCAGCATCTTTAGAGTGTAGTTCGGCGTTGTTCATTCATACCCAAAAACAGTCGCGCTATTATCTCAGAACAAACAATAAAAACAACTAACTGCTTCATATCCTTTATTTTAAACACCCTGTAACACAGTTAAATATCATTAACTCGTTTCTCAGATAAAGCTAAATCCTCAGTCTACAATGGAAACGTGTTCAGGTGTTGATGAACTGTAGTCGTCAATATAATGAATAGGAAATAATTCACACCTTTTCTTGCAGAAACAGCTGATTTTCTTCACATTGATGCAACCAGCAAACCAAAAGAGGTTTACTCAGTCGTTAATGTTGAACACATGCGACCAGCTAAACAATACAGTCTTCATTCTCAGGTGAAACTATGCCAAGATGATGATGGAATTTTAGGTGGAGGGTCACGGGTGTGACGCATCATAACCTGACCAGTGACTTTGAGGAAGCGCTTTAAAAGAGATGCACACCTACTCAGTGTAACAGCTGATCTCCATCATTTGGTGAACGAACACAAGTCTGTCTTTCGTCTTCAGGTACAGTAAGTGCAGTTTTTGAGATTGTTCAATTTTAGCTAGATTAAAAAATACTGGGTTGTTTCAACCCAAATTTGGGTCAAATATGGACTAACCCAAATGTTGGGTTAAAAATGCAATTCAAAAATTTAAAGTTGGAAGTGAAAAGTTGAAGTTGGGTTAAAATTTGAAATTACATTTTTTACCCAACATTTGGGTTTGTCCATATTTGACCCAAATTTGGGTTAAAACAACCCAGCATTGTTTAGAGTGTTGGTCCAAATTACATGTTAAAAATTGCAGTTGTAGTATAATTCTGACTGCTTTTAGATTACTTTTAACATAACTTTTAGCCTTAATTCGTTTAGGATAATTTTGTATGTAAAAATACAAAAAGAAAAAAAAACAGCAAAAAAAAAAAATCAAAGTAAAGTGCATTAAATGTTATATTACATCAGGGTTTCCCAAACAGGGGTTTGAACTGCATGAAGTTCAAATTGTACGATTTTCAAATAATAACAAAAAAAATAAACCACAAAAAAGACTATTTAATTTTGCGTGATCCTGACCTGATTGCATAATCCATTAAACACTCTGTGTGTTTCTATGCACTTATTTAAATAGCCTATCTAGCTTTGTTTTTCAAGAAAAACCTGTCTTTAAAACAACACTGGAACACTGTTGTTTAAAATGATAAATCACCATATGACAGGGTTTTCAATGGGCTTTTTTGTACTGATGCTAATGAAAAATAGATGGTACTTAATAAAGCATAAAGGTTCTGGTTGTGTGAAGAACATCAATGGAATTATTTCATTCCACAAAGTGGAAAACTCTACAGATTTAAAATAATATTCTTCAAACTGAGAGAAAAGGGTATATTTTAAGAACTGTTCGCTGAAAGGTTTTTTTGGGGGAACCAAAAAAAAAAAAAGGTTGTTATGGTATTGTTTAAAAATAAAGGTTTCGAGTTTGTTTACACCAAAAAAAAAATTAATTAGATGTAAATTCAGCACATTCTTCAAGGAGTAGTTCACTTTTAAAAAAACCTTTCCTGATAATTTACTCACCCCCATGTCATCCAAGATGTCCATGTCTTTCTTTCTTCAGTCGAAAAGAAATTAAGGTTTTTGATGAAAACATTCCAGGATTTTTCTCCATATAATGGACTTCAATGGGAACCAAACAGTTCAGGGTCCAAAAGACAGTTTCAGTGCAAACTGTTCAAACGGCTTTAAACGATTCCAGACGATAAAAAAAAAAACAAAGTTTAAGTTTTATAAGCTCAAATGGTCGCCTTGCTCTGTTCTGTGATGAGCGTTTGTGACGATTCAACGAACGAAATGAACGAGTTGACTCTGGAAAAGATTTGTTCATTTTTATGAACGAGTTTGAACAGGAGAGTCACGAACGCTCATCACAGAACAGAGCAAGGCAACCATTTGAGCTTATAAAACTTAAACTTTCTTGTTTTTTTAAATGAGCGATCTTTTCGCTTGATAAGACTCTTATTCATCGTCTGGAATCGTTTAAAGCCCTTTGAACAGTTTGCACTGAAACTGTCTTTTGGACTTGAACCGTTTGGTTCCCATTGAAGTCCATTATATGGAGAAAATCCTGGAATGTTTTCATCAAAAACCTTAATTTCTTTTCGACTGAAGAAAGAAAGACATGGACGTCTTGGATGACACTACTCCTTAAGATAACAATCTATTTTGTGTAAAACGTATTGCAATTATGTGACTTAACTTTAAAAGATAAAGTGGGGAGAAAATGAGTAGATTAAAGTATAAAGGCCGATATTTTCAGTGATATTTTAAGTCTCTTAATGTTGTTGTTGCAGTTTTTTAAGAAAACAAGACTTTTATCTGCATGTACCTTGATAAGAATGTTTCGATATGGAAAACCATAAAAAGTAGGACATTTATTATGTTTATTTATTTATTTATTTTTGCAGTGCATGTACTCATATGTGTTTGTGTTCTTGTGTCTGTTGAAGGATTTGGCAAAATAAAGAGGATGACCTCTCAACAGCCAAAGGCCTTCGTCATGTCACACACCTCCAACCAGTGGAGCTCTGGAATCTGTGACTGCACTGAGGACATACCAGAGTGTGAGTGTCTCTCTCTCTCTCTCTCTCTCTCTCTCTCGGTGTTGTTGATTTTGGTGCGTCACTAAATGAAGAGTTCAGATGCAAAAGTCTCTAAGTGCCATTTGAAATTTTCTTCTAGAATGATCTTTTTTATCAAGCTTGTATATTTAATTTCAGTAATTTCACTTAAATTGCAATAAAGATTACCTATTAATTGTCATTTAAGTGAAATTACTGAACTTAAATATACAAGCTTGATAAAAATGATCATTCTAGGAGAAAATTTCAAATGGCACTTAGAGGCTTTTGCATCTGAACTCTTCATATATGTCACGTTTTAACTATACAACAGTATTGCCAACACATCATCATTGTACATCACTGAAACATGTGTATTAAAGGTTCTCCGGAGGTGTGCCAGAATAAGGGATAATGTATAATCACTATTTACTGTAATTACTGTACATTAAGTCTGTCATTCTTTATAAACTGAGCAGGAAACGCAAAACTCTTCCTTATCTGATGCATATCCGAGTGAAACTGCTTCTCAAACAAGAAAAACTGTAGGGCAGGACATGATTGGATCGTTGGGTCATTATTGTTGATCCATACAGACAACACTCTAAACATTGCTGGGGTGATTTATTTGTTTCTGACATCCCTGTTAGAAGTGTTGTGACAAGTGCTTTTCATTGACACTGTGACATCTAGTGGATTTTTTGGCATAATATACCTCAACCAGATGATAGAGATGGCTCAATCAGTAGTTCACTTTTAAAAAAAACTTTTGCTGATAATTTACTCGCCCCCATGTCATCCAAGATGTCCACGTCTTTCTTTCTTCAGTTGAAAAGAAATGAAGGTTTTTGATGAAAACATTCCAGGATTTTTCTCCATATAATGGACTTCAATGGGAACCAAACGATTCAAGGTCCAAAAGACAGTTTCAGTGCAAACTGTTCAACGGGCTTTAAACGACACCAGACGATGAACAATGGTCTTGTCTAGGACCCTTTGAATCATGACTCGGAAAAAGATTTGTTCATTTTGATGAACAAGTTCGAACAGGAGAGTCACGAACGTGCCTCACAGAACAGAGCAAGGCGAGCATTTGTGCTTATAAAACTTAAACTTTGTAATTTATTTATTTAAAGAGCGACCGTTTCGCTTGATAAGACCCTTATTCATCGTCTGGAATCGTTTAAAGCCCTTTGAACAGTTTGTACTGAAACTCTCATTTGGACCTTGAACTGTTTGGTCCCCATTGAAGTCCATTATATGGAGAAAATCCTGGAATGTTTTCATCAAAAACCTTAATTTCTTTTCGACTGAAGAAAGAAAGACATGGACATCTTTGATGACATGCGGGTGAGTAAATTATCAGCAAAAGTTGTTTTAAAAGTGAACTACTCCTTTAAGTTAGGTACTCCTCTCAATAAAATATAGTGACTCAAAATGTGCTCAACCGTTTGGTTAAATGGTCAAACAAATGTGAGATGTGTTCAACTCCTCCTTATCTTGATTCTCTCATCATCACTAACGGTCATGTTATTTTCTAGGTTGTTTTTCATTTTGGTGCTTCCCCTGTTTTGCGTGTATGACGGCTCGCAAGCACGGCGAGTGTCTGTGTCTGCCTTTGCTGGACGGGTTCGGAGGATGCGTTCCTCCGATAACGCTGGCGATGCGGGTGTCCGTGCGCACTCGCTATGGGATCCAGGTTTGTTTTAAAGCCAGTTCTTACATCTAAAACTGTTTAATATCCCGAGAACTCATCGTGTCTCTCTCTCTAGGACTCTATCTGCAAAGACTGTGTGTACTCCACCTTCTGTGGGATCTGCTCCTGGTGTCAGATATCCCGGGAAATCAATGTCCGTGAGCAAAATGTCACATTCATCAACAGTCGAGCAAATTGAAGGCCCTCCATTTTTCTGCACTGTTACAAATGAAATGACTCTCATTCTTCTCTGTGACATTAGACCTACACCGTTGTATTTGATCCATTTTTTTCAGGCACAATTTTGGAGATTTTGGCCTTTCTTCTTTCAGACTAGTGAAAATAAAACATGCAAAATAGACATTTTAGTGTTTATTTTATTTCCTTTTATCGATTTGCATCTGTGAATTTCAATTGCGATACGTATCTTTAAAGGCTGTTTTATCAACAAAACAAAAAAAAAGTTTACTTTTACCAAACTTAACAGTATAATTTAATCATTTAATATAATATATAATATATTCATCAGGGTTATATAAGATTTAGGGAATTTTTTCCCCAGCTTATTGACATTGATTCATGAAAAGAGAAATCCAAAATCTCTGATTCGGAATTGTATGCAAATTCATATTTATTTATATATAATGCCTCATTTGCATATTTAAAGAAACAAATCTGAAAACGTGTAATACGGAAGTATTGTTTCATTGTACTGTGATTAATCATTTGGTGGAAGTATATGGTGATATCGATTAGTTGATTGTCTTAATCTATTGCCTTAATAAAAACAGTCTGATGGTCATCTGGTGTGTCTATATTTCAGTATCGCTAAACCTCCAGTTTATGGTTCGCTACATAACAGCCAATCACGAGTGAAACTCTTTTAAAACTCATTGAAATTATTTTCTCGCGAGAGAAGTAGCGCAATTCTCTTATCAAATAAAAGTATTAAAATATTACGAATTTAAACAAATTTACACAGCAAGATGAAAATAGCTGTCTATGAAGAGGTCAACTAAAAGAAAGTTTCGTTACTGTATATCGGTGCAAGTAAAAGTTGTGAATTTAGTTTTTACAGTTGATAAAGGTATAGAGAGAATTGAACAAGCTCACATGTCAGTTTATAGCTTCATGTATTGATTCTAAAGCGTGTTTATATTATCTTTATATACTGTACGTATACTCATTTAAAATCTGCGTAATAATAATTGATGAACTGAAATTGTACATGTGAGATCGTTTGAAGGGTATAATAATTACAAAAATAAGTTCTACATTATACACACTGTAAAAACTAATACGCTTTCTCTAATCAAAACAATTTTGGCAACAGATTACAAGCAATATTATTAATTAAATTTAACAAATTAGAAGTGAGTAATAATTAATTAAATTAATTCCTTAAAAGTTAACCATTTAAAATGAGTAAAACTTACAGCAACAACAAACAAACCAAAAAAAACGCACATTTATGGTGTTTGTTTTAGGTTTGTTTTAAAATTAGGGGTTTCTTCTTCAGTAATTCTGCTTGTTAACATCAATGTTGGCAATATAATATAAATAGTTCTTATTTAATCTTTGACGTCTGTCTGTTATTTTTGGGTGTAAACTTTACTCATTTTAAATGATTAACTAGCTGGAATTAATTTGATTAATTATTTGCTTGTAATCTGTTGCCACAATTTTATTGATTAGATAAAGTGTATTCATTTTTACAGTGCAGATTTATTCACTAAAAGCCATGATTTTTTCTTTTAAAATCATTTGCTATGTAGTGACTGTAGAAGCCATTTCAATGTTTATGTCCAGGTTTGGCCATTAGGTGGCACTAGGGTTATGGCACATCAATTGGGGCTTATCTACTTAGGAGGTTAGCTGTAATCAAGGACAGGTGTTGCCAGAGGGAAAAGGGCAAACTAGTTTTTGACCGCCACCGAGGCTGTGGTTTAATGTTTGTAATGTGAAGGTGTTGGTGAAGATGGAATACTGTTCCGTTATGGAAAAGGAAATCCTTGTGTAAATCCAATAAATCTCTCACAACAGAGAAGAAAACCGAACTTTAAGCTTCGTCGCATTCTTCAATCAAGCCAAATCGACCACGGTAAGCGCGTCAACTATAGCCCACTTCAACCCTCTGCATAACCCTCGGCTGTTTTAAGCTTAGCGGTTACAGTGACCTTTAATTTAGAGTGACTTTATCGCGTCAGACATGTGTCACTTTGCTCACAGCTTACGTTTTTGTGGAGTAGTAGTACGAATTAATGTTTTTAAAATAGTATTAGTATAAAAAATAACTCGTTCGCTCATTTTGGCGTACCCCATAGATGAGTTGCGCCAGCGAACTAAAGCTCGACCAATATTACTCAATAATTTACTCGCCCGTGTCCTCCAAGATGTCAATGTCTTTCTTTCTTCAGTCGAAAAGAAATGAAGGTTTTTGATGAAAACATTCCAGGATTTTTCTCCATATAATGGACTTCAATGGGAACCAAACGGTTCAAGGTCCAAAAGACAGTTTCAGTGCAAACTCTTCACAGGCTTTAAAAGATTCCAGACGATGAATAAGGGTCTTATCAAGCGAAACGGTCACTCATTTAATAAATAAATAACAAAGTTTAAGTTTTATAAGCTCAAATGCCCGCCTTGCTCTGTTCTGTGATGCGCGTTCGTGACTCTCCTGTTCAAACTCGTTCATCAAAATGAACAACGAAATGAACGAGTTGACTCGGAGAAAAATTTGTTCATTTTGATAAACGAGTTCGAACAGGAGAGTCACAGAACAGAGCAAGGTGAGCATTTGAGCTTATAAAACTTAAACCTTGTTATTTATTTATTGAATGAGTGACCATTTCGCTTGATAAGACCCTTATTCATCGTCTGGAATCGTTTAAAGGCCTTCGAACAGTTTTGTCACCCAGAAACGGTCTTTTGGACCTTGAACCATTTGGTTCCCAATGAAGTCCATTATATGGAGAAAATCCTGGAATGTTTTCATCAAAAACCTTAATTTCTTTTCGACTGAAGAAAGAAAGACATGGACATCTTGGATGACATGGGGGTGAGTAAATTATCAGCAAAAGTCAAATAAAAAAAACGTGAACATTAATAAATAATGTTTTATTAATATAAAGCTTTTTGTGGTGCACTGCTGAACTTGTTCAAATATGCATAACGTGTCGTGTGTATTCCTCCAGGAGACGCGGATCGACATAATGTAATAAAACACGGAGAGACTCTTGAACCTCAGAGTGAGAACTTTTATTGATAAAGCCAAGCAAAATACATATGACAAATGGAGAGCGGTAATAGTAAAGTGACATCTGTTTAACTCTTTATTCTTTTGTTTTACAAGTCTGAGGGAAATATAAACAATAAAAATAAAATATAAATGTTTAAAAATATCAAGACGTTGAAAATGCAAAGGGATAGTACAAGCTTGAGTAATAAACTACATTTATAAGCACAAAAACACTAGAAAAACAACTTTGATTTTCGGCGTACTGCTTTAGATTTCAATACTTCCTGAAAAAGATGAACATAAAGTCATAAATCTAACAAATATTTATGCAAAAAAAGAAAGTTTGTGAGAAATGACATCATCAGTTAGGTACCTGATATGTGAATATGTGCTTGATCTCGTTCAGCTCTTCTGGATCTGATGTCATAAATCAGAACAATGACCGTAGCCACGCCCACCAGAGCAGAGAGGACCAATCGGAGCACAGCTTCAGTAGGACCACAACAGTGGACAGAGTCTGAGGGATAAAAACATCAAAGATATTCAACTTTAATATCAGCACTGACTTCAACTAATATCACGAGTGGTACCTGCACATGTGTGGCTGCAGAGTGTGTTGATGTCCAGATGTGTGGTCTGGTTGCTGATGGGATTGTTCAACACACAGGTGTAGGTGTTTTTATCCTCATGTTCCACCTCCAGAGGTAGAGAGAGACTGATGCTGAGATCACACACACTGATGCTGGACAATACACTCATTCCTGCGTACCAGGAGAGAGTCGCATGACTCACATTCAACACTGATGAACACACCAATGAACAATTTGACGATGATGAAGAACAGTGTGAAGAGTTATTGATGATGACAGGAACAGGTAGACGAGCTGGGAAACATGAGAGAACAAGGAGAAAAATGAAGAAATGAAAAGTTCTGTTATGAAACTCTAGAGGGGGCGCAGGCTGATTGGTCCTTAAAGGAGTAGTTCACTTTTTAAAAAACCTTTGCTGATAATTTACTCACCCCCGTGTCATCCAAGATGTCCACGTCTTTCTTTCTTCAGTCGAAAAGAAATTAAGGTTTTTGATGAAACCATTCCAGGATTTTTCTCCATATAATGGACTTCAATGGGGACCAACGGTTCAAGATCCAAAAGACAGTTTCAGTGCAAACTGTTCAAAGGGCTTTAAACGATTCCAGATGATGAATAAGGGTCTTATCAAGCGAAACGGTCGCTCATTTAATAAATAAATAACAAAGTTTAAGTTTTATAAGCTCAAATGCCCGCCTTGCTCTGTTCTGTGATGCGCGTTTGTGACTCTCCTGTTCAAACTCGTTTATCAAAATGAACAAATCTTTTTCCGAGTCATTTGGTTCATTCAACGAACGAAACTAACGAATTGACTCGGAAAAAGATTCGTTCATTTTGATGAACAATAAATGAAGAAGAAGAAGAAGATAAACAAGTTCGAACAGGAGAGTCACGAATGCGCATCACAGAACAGAGCAAGGCGAGCATTTGAGCTTATAAAACTTAAACTTTGGTATTTATTTATTAAATGAGCAATCGTTTCGCTTGATAAGAGCCTCATTCATCGTTTAAAGCCCTTTGAACAGTTTGCACTGAAACATTTCATTTGGACCTTGAACTGTTTGGTTCCCAATGAAGTCCATTATATGGAGAAAAATCCTGGAATGTTTTCATCAAAAACCTTAATTTCTTTTCGACTGAAGAAAGAAAGACATGGACATCTTGGATGACATGGGGGTGAGTAAATTATCAGCAAAAGTTTTTTTTTCAAAACGGTCTGTCATCTCAAACTATAAAATAAAAAAAACCCTCAACAGTTTTGATATATGACTGGTGCTGAGCCAGAGACGGATGTGCTTATCACTTGTCATATCACAGTGTTTTCAACCACATAATGTTTATTTCAGGTTTCAGACATTTAAATAGGTACAAGAAAAAACCAACATTTAGTCGTTTTTCATTTAGTAGGCAAGAAAAAAACACACCGGTAGTTTGTAAAATACACTGATGTTGACGGAAGCGTCAATAATAATCATTTCAGTTTGACAACATGTTTTATTCACATTCTAATGAATAAAACTTGTGTGTGAAAAGGTTAATAAATTACAATATTTGAAGGACAGCAACATAGTGTCGGCCCAGATCCGGCCCACATCCAAATAATGCCAGAAGTGAGCCGGATCTGGGCCGACACTATCTATGTTGCTGTCTGAAAAATGATTTCGACTCACCATAGACGGAAACATTGAATGTTTTTGATGATGGTGGTAACAATTCATTAGTTATACGAAGTTTATAGATTCCAGTATGATCAGTTGTGATGTTTGTGATGGTCAGAGATCCAGTTTGATTGTCCAGCTTCAGTCTGTCTCTGAATCTCCCGTCAGTGAAAGCTAGTGATTCAGTCTCCCAGAGTAAGGTATTTTCACGTAGGCCTATTTCAGTAAGACCAGGGTTTAAAGTGACTGAATCTCTGACTTCTGACACTGACTTCACCTTATCTGCACACATGAGAACAAACAGGAACAGATTAGCTTTTAAATGAAGTTCTGATTGTTCAAGATTGGTAAAATTTCAAAAAGTTGAATCAAAAATTTAACTCACAGTTGATAATGAGAGTGAAATCTGTACTCATTGGTTGGTCGGTGTCGGTTTTTACGTTATACTTTCCAGCATGATCAGTTGAGATGTTTGTGAGGATCAGAAATCCGGTTTGATTGTCCACCGTCAGTCTGTCTCTGAATCTCCCATCAGCGACATCATCATATACAGCGATGCTGTCATTAATTACATTTATTTCAGCTAGTAAATATTCTCCAAACCACCACCATATTGGATATCCATCCTTAATTTCAAATGTACCGTAGCTTTCACTGGGTGACAGGGTGACCGAATCTCCCTCCATCACTGACATTTCTGAAAAAACTACATAACCAAACACACCTGAAGAACAGAGTGTGTGTCACAGATTAAAGCTTTAAATTACTTGATTTTGGTTTGCTAAAGCTTTACTGAAACACTTTATCTGAATCTGAAGTGAATAACATTCTGCAGCAGTATAAACAGAAATGTGAAATACTTCAAACTGAATAAAAAGTAGGGCTGTCAAATGATTAATCGCGATTAATCGCATCTAAAATAAAAGTTTGTTTACATAATATATGTGGGTGCACTGTGTATAATTATTTTATATATATATATAAATACTCACATGCTTGTATATATTTAAGAAATATTTTCATGTATATAGATTTATATATTATTTATAATATATATATATAAATATAAATATTTTATACATAAATAATGTTTTTTTTCTTAAATATACATGCATGTGTGTGTATTTATATATATACAAAATAATTATACACAGTGCATCCACATATTATGTAAACTCAAACTTTTATTTTGGATGCTATTATTCGCGATTAATCGTTTGACAGCCCTAATAAAAAGAGACACTTTTACCTAGATAAGCGTAAAGTCACACTTAAATGAATGCTGTTGAGTATTTTATCTTCATATTTATTTAATAAATCCCTAATAAATCAGTTAAGGCCTGAATAAAAAATTATACTTGATAATATAACCGTCAATGACTAATTTCACCACTAATGTATTTCATTACTGAACCATAAGCAACTGAAATCTTAAAAACACATTTCAAACTCACCATCCAGACGCCACAAACAGATCAAAACTAATTTAAGAAACATTTTCTTCATCTGTTCACTGAAAACCCTGCAAAAGTGATCCTTAAAATGTTTAATAACACTCCGACTGATAGGAAACACGACTGAACTGTGATATATATCTGTTTTAATCGTCTCTCAACAGGTTTCAACCTCTATCGCAGTTTCCTTTTTTTAGAGGAAGTTATGAAAACAAAGCTGTTGCTGATCTAATGTTTTTTAATGAATTCTGGCCCTGTATTAGTTGAGTGAAACTACATGAGTGTTGGATTAGATCCATATCCACTTGTTTTTTATTTTATGTTGTGAGCATCAATCCTGTTTGACCTCTGACACTTATTTGACAGCACTTTATTTCGAGGTAAAGATGTTTTGTGTGGACTGGAAGATTAAAAGGGTCTCGTATTAGCAAGAGAGAAAACGAAAAACGCTTTACAGATTACTGAGAAAAACATTCAGCAAAAGCTGTTGATCCACTCAACAGATCAAAACACATTTCCGTAGATAGATAAAACAAAGAGGAAAACCTTTGAGTTCGTGTTTGAGATCTCAGGCTTTTGTATCTTCTGAGCAAAATAACTCTTGAAGCACATGCGAGTTTAACTTGGTCTTTTCTTCTGGAGAAACGGAGAAGCCTCTACACTGGGTCATGTTTTCCTAAATTCATGTTTAGATGGGCTATTCTCATATTGTACCTGTCCTGTAATGGCAGCAAAGGTTGGAAAACAATGAGAAAAGATTCAACGGACATCACATCTCCAATATGACAACAAAGTAGTAACAGTAACAGTAGTATTTTGATATTAAGCGGGTTTTCTCCTCTGCTCTTGACGCTTGCTGGTTGGTGCGAGATGCATTCTGGGATACCTGGCTGTCTGTCGCAAGTCCGCACCATAGACATGTATAGTCTATGAGTCCGCACAAGTCACCTCTCGATGCATCCCCGGTAAAGGGGGCGGATCAAGAACACATTCGGGGATTTGCACTGGACTTGGGTAGATGGTAAAAACTTATTTAGAAATTGAGAATGATGAGGTGACGTCACGCGTATAACTCCGCGGTACATTGTGGGAGGGATCCGCCATTTTGGGAGGACACGCTATCCGTTGTCATGGTTACTTCGACCGTGAGACTGAGAGAAATAGCGACAGAGAAGGAGTGCAGCTTGAAATTTATTTGCATTTTTGCGATAAGGCACACTTTCTTGGGAATAAATGAAGCGAAAGGAGAGGGTCTCTATCGGGAGAGAATACATAGCTAACAACACTGTAACGTTAAACTGCGAGAATTCAGTCAAACATGATGTTTCAGGCTTCATTCATATGTGGAAATAAATCTGATTTGAATCAGATACGTGCATTTGCACCTGCCATGCAACGTCAAGCTAGCCTGGATGTCAGCCCGAACTCCGCCCACAACATTTTTTGGTCGGGAAGTTCGGTCTGGACTTGCTCCATTGAGGAGAAATTATAATCAGTCAAAAAATGAACGGGCCAATAAGATTGCCAGGGTGGGCTTTAAACGATGATGGACAGATGATCTGCAGGGACGTAATCATCACGTTATCAAAGAGCGCTTGTCAATGATGACTGCAGCTGGAGAATAGGCTATATGCACAGCTGCACTACTGTACTTCCTGAACTTCAGCCAGCTCCTTGTTTCCTGCCTGCCATTATTGGCCAAACTTGATTAATTCAGGTGTGTCTGATTATTGTTGCCTTGACTACTGAAGACAAGCACATGCACACCTGAATTAATCAATTTGGCCAATGGACTATGTGCACGTTAGCATATGCTAGTTCCGGCTGCGAAACCGATATGGGGTGTCTAGTTTCCGGTAGCCTGATGGACGACGTAGAGGATGTATGTTTCTCCAGATGTCTTGAACATTTGCCGAATATTACAGTCGATTATGTTCATCGACTGGCTAATGATTTTCCTCCAGCTCCCCAGAGCAAGAGAGAAGGGGTTTAAATATTACATTTCTCAGTATTTGCATCATTTTGAAGGGAACGTTAAGTCACAACAACATCCATGCTCAGACTGATCTCATGAAATTGCGTATGTATGACACGTATCACGTATTTTTGGCATGCTATCAACACGTATAATCTTTTTTTCAGCGTGTTTATGAATACCGTTGACTTAACGTTATTATTGTGTGTATATATATATATATATATATATATATATACTGTATATATATATATATATATATATATATATATATATATATATATATATATATATACTGTATATATATACTGTATATATATATATATATATATATATATATATATATCACAGTGTATATATGAAGAGTTCAGATGCAAAAGCCTCTAAATGCCATTTAAAATTTTCTTCTAAAATGACCATTTTTATGAAGCTTGTATATATTTGTTCAGTAATTTCACTTAAATGACAATTAATAGGTAATCTTCATTGCCATTTAAGTGAAATTACTGAACTTAAATATACAAGCTTGATAAAAATTATCATTTTAGAAGAAAATTTCAAATGGCATTTAGAGGCTTTTGCATCTGAACTCTTCATAGCATATGACCTACCTCAACCCCAACCTACCCGTCACTCCTACCATCCTAGGAAAAAATAAATATCGCTCCCCAGATGTAGATCTACATTTTGTTTTGTTTCGCTCGGACATTTGACGGCGTGTACATACGCGGTACACGTGGAATCACTCGGACATTAATGTTGCCATGCTACGTGCTCAAGCTATGCGATTTGGTAACTGTTATATCTCTCTATACATTATAAAATGCGAAATCATGCGTTAGAAAGTGCATTTTCCAGAACAGTTTGTGTTGGCCATTGTTTTGTTTATGATGTTCAGAGGCTATGTTGTTGACAACCACTATCTATATAGAATGTCATATAGATCAGTGTTGACAACCACTATACATGTCATACAGGGAGTAAAGGTATCCGACGTTGGTTCGTTCGTTATCAAGTTAGGCTGTTTAACACATATTAGGCTGTTAACACATATTTCTAAACAGGTCTCCCTTGCAAAATAGGTTCTAAACCCAGGGGCTTCTCCTGGTTAAAGGGTATAATATAATAAATAATTAGTAGCCTAAAAACTTCCTTCTAGCTATAGTTGTCATGGATACGCAACGCTCCACTCTGTAAAGCGACTGCTTGGGTGCGGTGACAAAATGTGAAATATCGTTTACTTTTCACAATGCAGCAGCGCCTGGCTCCACCCAAATATGAGTGAAAACTGTGTTGGTTGACTTGACAATGAACAAACGAACATAGTTTTAGACAAATATATTTAGATAGCTAAGCTTTAGATAGCCGGTCCACTGATGTAGGATGTAAACAACGGCAACCGGAACCGAAGTACCCAACATCCGCCCTCAAGGCGGAAGTTAGCATTTTTCTCGTGCACAGAGAGAGTCAATAATGGCAGACAGGAAACAAGGGAGCTGGCTGAAGTTCAGGAAGTAGTGCAGCTGTGCATAAAGCCCATTGAGATGTAGATTCCGCTGTCGCGTCTTTTGTAAGAAAAAAAAAAAATCGACAGCGCATTCATTTTAATAGACAAACAGAGAACTGCAATCAAGGCATTTGTCGATCGGAAAGATATTTTTGGCGTCCTTCCTACATGATTCGGGAAAAGTGTAACTTATCAGCTGGCTCTGACGGTCGTTAAGAAGATGGGACGTAATGAAAAGCCTGTGGTCGTTGTGGTTTCTCCTTTGGTGGCATTCATGGAGAAGTAAGTAAAAGAAGCAACACCCGTTATTTAACTTCTAAAATATATAAAGTTAGGCTACGTTCTGTATTTGAAAACTGCGCTATGCAAAGGAGTTGACTCACTGCGTTGCTCTGATTGGTTGTAGGAAAAAAATATTATTTTTATATAATACTCCATATTGCTGGTTTCCCATAAAGATGAAATGACAGTTAACTTGATGCTTTAAACACTCTTTGAAATACATAAATTAACCTTTATTTTGTGAAATTTGAAAATATGGTTAGAAGTCAAAAGCAGTTAGCAAAGGGTTGAAAAAATCATTAAGAAAAAAAAAGTATAAGTTGTGTGATTAATTAGTTCCACCAGTAGATGGCAGCAAACAACAGGTTTACAAGTAAACCCATAAATAGAAGATAACCAAAGGCACTGGCGACAGATCTATCAGGATCTATGTGATTGAGATATGAAGATCGTGCAGTGTGATAAACAGGACAGCACACATGCACTGATAGAGATGAAGAAACAGTCTTAAAACGAGAGATGGGTCAAACATGATACCAAGATGGCCAGTCAAGTGACTAATTGTCATCTAGTTTGACAAAAGTGGAATTAATCCATGTATTCATGTTATGTGGCAATTAAATATAAACGAGCACTCACACACACGTACACATTGTGCGTTACATATTAACCTATAGTGGGGCGGCTAAACGCAGATTTTCATCAGAATCGATCACTTTGCGATAAAAGCATGAAATTTGGTACGAAGGCTCATAAAGGGGGTCTGATCAGATTTAGGACTGTAGGCGCTTAAAATTTGGCCCCTGGGGGCCATTTCGGGCATTTTTCAAAATGGCCGCCAAATGTGGATTTCTTAATGCGAAAATGAATTTAAAGCTGCCAGAAACCTAAAATGCAATAACACAATTTACCATAAATACATGTAAATATGACCACACTTTCACATAGAAGGTCTTTAAACTTTCAAATATAAGATATGTTTAAAAAAAATTGAAAATGGCCGCCAAATATGGATTTCATAATGTCATAATGGATAGACGACAGAAATGAACAATTAAAAAAGTTGCACATTTGATCATTAAACAATCTAGTTCATTTTTAAACAAAAAGGAATAGAGGTTATGATATCTATCATAAATTATGTACTTTTTAAATGTACATTTAAATATTTAATATTAAATTGTGAGCATATACTATCATTTTTACTTGGTAGTTTGTCAGGGACACCTTTTTATTCAGTCAGTAGGTTTCATCTTGTGGTGGCCACAGTTAAATATTATTCTCTTTAAAATCTAGGGAACTGGTGGGATGTTTTACTCTTGACTACAAGTGAGATAAAGGCAAAGTCAGTTGGATGTGTTTCTCACTGTTACTCAGTAAA